TGGAATTTCCAATACTGGCCAGCCTTCTATCAAGTGAATACCATTTATTCAGTGTCTTGGCGGGAAGGTCTGGATGGAAGGTGAACCCCAAATTGCAGTGACTCAGCAGTGGCAGTTTTGTGTTTGGGAACAGTACATTCAATTACCCTGGGCTGGCAAGATGTTAACATTATACATATTCCGTTGATAGTTTTACATTTAAAGAGATTTTGTTAGTTTTACTTTAGTAGAACATTCTCTTTAAAGGTTATAATTATAGCATTATTTGAGGATGCAGGTTTTTAAAAATCAGATCAAAGTGTGATTTTTTTCATTAAATGGGGGTAATTAATTAGTCACACTTATTGAGACTGTATTAAATTATTAGGCCTGAAATTTAATTCTGGCAGTAACTATATAGAGCTACCGCAGACTTCATAGGTTAAGGGCACAGTCCCCCGCAAGACTACCTTCACTTCAGACAGCAGCCACAAGCTCAGGGATTCCCAGGCCACCCACACTTCTACCCAAGTGGCTACAAATTAGGCAGTTCCCACAACCTCTCAGTTTCGATAATTCACTAGAATGGTTTACAGAACTCAGGGAAGTGCTATGCTTTCTATTACAATTTTCTTATAAAGGATACAAGTATCAGCCTAGAGAAAAGATGTATAGGGCAAGGTTTGGGAGGGTAGCAAATGTGTACTTTCTCTGTGCTCCGCATGTGTTACCTTCCAGATATCACGTATATCACCAAGCAGGAGGTTCCCCTGAGCCTCAGTGTCCTGAGTTTTCGTTGGAGGTTCTTCACATAGGCGTGCTCGATTGGATCACAGACCATGTGATTGAACTTAGTCTCCAAGCTCCTTCCTCTCCCAGAAGGTCGGCTGATACTGTGTGACTTAAAACCCCAACCCTCTAACCATGTGGTTGGTCTTGCTGGCATGAGTGGTCTGAGGCACCCATATGAAAAACAAAGACATTCCTATTACTCAGGACATTTCCAGGGTTTAAAGGCTCTCTCCCAGGAACCAGAGACAAAGACCAGCCAAATCCTGTATCGTAGGACAAAGCCTTCTCACTGCATTTTTGTTACGAGCTCTGTGACGTTTACCTCTGTAAGGTAATGAAGATCTATGGTCTATGTCTCTTTAACATGACATATTTATTAATTTCCTGGAAAAAGCAATGTGTTATCTAGAAAACTTATTTATTGTTTGATATACAAGTTCATAAACCATATAATAAAGTTCTAGAAGTGGCACCATAGTGAAGTGTTAATGTAACAATTAGAAGAATAATAAAGCAGGCTTTGAAAACATAAAAATCTATATTCTTTAGGGTCCCATCATCTGATTCACAAGTCTTTAACCCAATTCCCTCCTACCCTTCAATGTTAAGGTGGAGTCAACGCATCACTGTTTCTTTTTCTGTTCAGAGGCATCACGGGATCATCTTCTCTGTTTAGTGCCTGCGCCTGTTTTGACGGCTGAGCATTAGGCTTTCTATTAAACAAGACTCATTAGTTTTAGAAAGCTTTCAATTAGCCAAACTGCTGTAATTAACTTTCTCACTATAATTTTCAGTCATTCATACTAAATAGGGCTGATGGAGCAGAGCATTTGCCTCTGTGTCTCCCACTTATCTGGATCTCAACCAAATTGAAATTGCAGATGAGAAAATAGATAGATACTACCCACCCCTGGTCTGTTGCCATGACGGCACATGGTCCAGTGAAGGACACATGTCTGTTACTTGATGGGTTGTTTTCATCATGGTGTGCCTTTGATGTATTTTATCAGTAGGAAGACTATATGCTCCTCTTTGCCTGGGACAGTCTAGTTTACTTCTTTGTCTCAGACTAATAATTAATAGCATCTGCTGCCACTATCAAAAGTGTCTGGTTTAGAAAAAAATTATATAGTCACCCCATTATTTTGGTTAAAGGAATTCGGTTAGTTTTTAAAGAGAGATGCCTCATTTTCTTCCAAAACTAATATGGTTTTATTTTTTTTTAATATTTGAAAGTGATCCAGGCATAGCTTTAGAAATTTAAATATAGAAAGGTGATAAGAAGATTGTGAAGATTACCTGAGAGAATTTTTGAAAAGATTTATTTCTTCTAAAAATAATCT